AAAACTTCAAGCAACCTTCACGAAACATAACGTTTAAAATAGATTACCATCATCACGAAAATCTAGTATGGTTTGCCGAAATTAATGGCTATTTCGTGTGTTGACTAGCACAGTGACCGCTACGATAAGTCGGCAGTGTCGGCTCTTGTTCGACCGCAATATACATCATGACATAACGGCTTATACTGGACTCGATGCTAACAGAGTCAACCCACACAGCCGTTAGAATGCACCGTTGACGAATCATATTAGATTGCATTCACTAATACCGCAATTGCTCCAAGCAATGAAATTTCGCGAAACATTTCTTCTCGATCAAGGACTTAATGTTACTTTATACAGTTTTTTTTCTCAGGAATAATCTCATAAAAAAAAAACAATTTAACTGTTTTTCAAATTTTTTAATAAACTACTACTAATTGAATAAGAACTGTCTGATGAACCCATCTTTGTTTAATACTTCGCTATTAAATTTTATTGCCTTTTGTTTATTTCACTATTACACTAAACACAATATTGCAAATTACCCGAGCACAACAATGGCGGAGAATTTTAGGTGCGTGAGAGCAGACGTAGACACTAACGCGTATGCGCGCATCTGTCAGTACCCAGGGAGAAAAAGTTAGCCTTTCTTCCCTGTACAGCGGGACGAAAACCGAACTTTCGGCGTAGGTAGGAGAAAAAAAGAATAGTCGTGAATGTGGATTGTCCTTGTCGCATCCAATCGTAAGTGCAATGTTTCGCTCAAGCTAAATCAGTATCTTGAAGTCGCTTGGTGCACTCGTATCGAATCATGCGACAGCTCCCGAGTTATGGCATGCACCAATTTTTCTAAGTTAATATGTACCTACGCATTGCATAATTACTGGTGGTAGGACCTCTTGTGAGTCCGCGCGGGTAGGTACCACCACCCTTGCCTATTTCTGCAGTAAAGCAGTCATGCGTTTCGGTTTGAAGGGGGGCAGCCGTTGTAACTATACCTGAGACCTTAGAACTTATATCTCAATGTGGGTAGCGCATTTACGTTGTAGATGTCTATGGGCTCCAGTAGCCAATGAACCAGTAAGCAATGATAAAAAAAGCTTTGAGCGTGTTCACCGATTGATATAATAATAATAATAATAATAAGAACGAAATATCTCTGAATTAACGATATAAATAAACTATACTATGACCAAATACTTGTTTACCAATTTAACGTCAAATAATGTCGGTGCCCCAGATTAGTACGGCTTGCGAGCGATTGGACCACGAGCAAAACCGCACCTTAGAACAGATCTGATACAACGACCACTTGGTGTAACAATTATCACGATAATATAGCTGAGCATGATGTAAGCGAGCAATACGCAATGATACAGTTTTAATCATATAACATTAAATAACAAAATATTGTTTCACGAAAACTTCTAAGAAGTTTTTACGACTTTGGGAAAACCGTAATCAGGTACAAATATTATTAATAGTGTATAACTTGGTACCCTATTTTTTTTTAAATAATATTTAACAGACAGATTTTCAGGAATCTATATATTAATACGTGAAGCATAAACTTTGTATCCCTTTTTACGAAAATTGCGCGGACGGAGGAGTATGAAATTTTACACACTTACCTATAGAGAATATAGAGAAGAAGTGCACAATGCTAATATTTTTTTAAATAATGCATAAAAGATTTATTTTTAATGTATTAAATCAATAAAGAAAACATTACACACACTACCATGTATTTGACACACACACGCATGCATACTATTTATTTATTGTCAAACTTTTGTTGTTGACGTCTGTGGCCATTGAGAATAAATTAAATATTGTTTTTCTTTATTAATATTTTTCTATAGTGTAGTCTTGGCGTTGAAAATATAATCATAATATTGTACAAACTTACAATTCCTATTAATTATAGTCGAATTTCGACTACTGCGGGACCTCTAGTCCTATTAAAACCATTAAACCTACAATCATGACATGACAAAATTACGACCTTTATGTACTAGTATGAAGCCATACGAATATACCGTTGTTTAAATCTCGCAGACATACTTTTCTAACGAATGCATAAATAGCAAACACGGAAACGAATGTATACGCTCTGTTGTAAGCCCGAAAGGTCCTACATCTACATCTACCGAAAAGCATTATGATTAAATTACGAGTTAAGCTAAGGTTTCGTGGAAATCATTTTCAGGATTAGCTATCAACTGTTCCTTGGGAAGTGCACTGAGAATTTAATTTGAAGCAAGGGTCTTCTTTTTTAATACCAAGGCATACTGAAACATAGACCTATCCCTTTTTTATTGCCTTTGTAGGCAGTCGAGCATGCGGCCCATCTGATGGTAAGTGGTCACCGTCGCTCATGGACGTCAGCAATGCCAGGGGCAGAGCCTAGCCGCTGCCTACCATTAAGTACTCTCCGCAAGCCTCGTTTGAAGGAGGACATGTCATAGCGCTCGGAAAGCACCGTGGAGGGGAGTTCATTCCAAAGCCGGATGGTACGTGGCAAAAAAGACCTTTGGAAACGCACTGTCGATGAACGCAGCGGTTCCAGATAATATGGATGAACTCTGCTCCGATTGCGGGAGATGCGATGATAAAAAGGAGATGAGGACTTTATGGAATCAGTGCGTTCATCCACAGTCCCTAGGGACATTCAAGGTGTATTTTTTGCCACGTACTATCTAGTTCTGGAATGAACTCTATACTTTGTCATTCACCTAGAACCTAGATACCACAAGTCTTTCTTCAAATATGACTTAATAAGAGCCACTCTCAATAGGCAACGGCTTGTGTCCCTAACATTGGTAGCATCCATGAGCGATGCTAACCGCAAGATTCACCAGGCCATATGGTCATTTATCATTGTCGACAATAAAAGTAACCTAAAAATTATTTCAGATTAAAACCATAAATAAACAGCTAAAAAAATATCCATAATAAGAGTCTCGACGTCTCTTTTCAGGTTTCGTAATAACAATTTAATGTTCTTAGATACTCGGTCGGCACGAATAGTTAAGTCGGCTACAAACAAACGTATCAGTGTTACGAATTAATCGTGCATTACATCACAGTAATGCTCTTGTAAGTGCTACTAGCAAAAAGGGATTAATAAAAAAGATTGCCCGCTTTCTATTATTAATCGATCAACCAGCCGTCTGCTTCGTAGAAATCTGATCTGTCAATTAACACATTCGAAAGGTTCTTCTTAATGATGTTCTGCGTTCGTATTTATCAAGCGTTATTGTATGATCAGTATTAAGAATACGAAAGGCAATGACCTCTCACTGTCAAATATTACTTTGTACTAGAGGTCCCGCAGTAGTCGAAATTCGACTATAATTAATTGGAATTGTAAGTTTGTGCACTATTATGATTGTATTTTCAACGCCAAGACTACACTATAGAAAAATATTATTATAAACAAACAATATTTAAAACAACAACAAACAAAAGTTTGACAATAAATAAATAGTGTGCATGCGTGTGTATGTCAAATACATGGTAGTGTGTGTAATGTTTTCTTTATTGATTTAATGTATATTTTATGCATTATTTAAAAAAAATATTAGCATTGTGCACTTCTTCTCTATATTCTCTATAAGTGTGGAAAATTTCATACTCCCCCGTCCGCGCGATTTTCGTAAAAAGGGATACAAAGTTTTTGCTTCACGTATTAATATATAGATAGTTGTTATTACTTTATGAGCTTTTTCAAGAATTTCTTTTTTTTTAATTAAAGAGAGCATACCTATTATTATTTTGTATTAGTCCTTATATTAATGAAATATACATTCTGAATAGAGCACGTAATTAATATTTTAATGATAATTTTTCAATTCCTTTTTTTTATTCCACTTCTTTTAAGTCTAAATTATTTTACCAAGTCCCTATTATTATTTTGCATAATATTTTAAAATATTAATGATTTATGTACATTAAATGTAATCTTTTTTTTTGTGTATGTTGTTCACACAAATGGATAAAATTTACACATATCATACAATTTAAATAATATATAAAAAAAAGGAATATAATAGTAATTTCGTCCCTTGGTATGAACAAAACTTGTAATCGAATATAGTGTTTATAGCAAGACCGTATATATATATTTTTTAATTTAATTATTTCATCGAAGATTTCGAGCTTACCAAATGAGATTAACTTAAAACGCTACCCACAAATAAATTTTTACTGTTGATTTTGCAAGGAATTTTAAAATTTATTCAAAAGTGAAGCCTCTTTCTAAAACCCACTTACTCTAATTATTCACTCTGTGGGCACCTAAAAAGTAGAGCACAATTCACGTTGAAATTTTTAATTGTACAGTTATGTAAGTTTAGATGAGGCATATCGGAACAGTTCATTGTAAATGTTTAATTGTAGAATGTTGAAATTCCATTGTTCCGCGTTTGGACTTAGGCGAATCGCAGCCCATCTATTGTTGTTGATGTATCAACGTTTTGATGTACAATAGCTATTAAGAAGCAATTAAAACTTTGTATCAGTCAAATATTTGTAGCTACTTTTAAGTTAATAATGTGTTAGCATTGAAATCTGACCCTTATTCAGTAATAATTTACATAAATAATTTACTGGCGGTAGGATCTCTTGTGAGTCCGTACGGGTAGGTACCACCGCCCTGCCTATTTTCGCCGTGATGCAATAATGCGTTTCGGTTTGAAGGGTGGGACAGCCGTTGTAACTATACTGAGACCTTAGAACTTATAACTCAAGGTGGGTAGCGAATTTACGTTGTAGATGTCTATGGGCTCCAGTAACCACTTAACACCAGGTGGGCTGTGAGCTCGTCCACCCATCTAAGCAATAAAAAAATGCCAAATTAAAACTCGAAAAAAAAATATTTTTCTTCTTACATTTCGTTGTGATTCGAAAGGTGATTTGGTCAAACCAATATTTATATGTTATGTCATATGTATGTTAGCTATATATATATATACACAAAATAATTAGAGCACCATTTTTAAAAGACTTTTTTTCAGATGCGGCGACAGGCTCGGATCTCAGGCGGCGGCGCGCTAGTGGTGCGCTCCGCCTCCGCGCTGCAAGGTACACAATAGATATTTTACTTACTGAATTATTTCAAGATTTTATGTTGAAAAGGCATAGGCAAGGCAGCTAGGTTATGTTACTATTTAGATGTCATCAAGTATATTAACTATATTTTCGGAATAAATCCTCCCACTCCAAGTTATACTCCAAGCATTGAATTGCATGAATTGGCTTACATCAAATGAAGTTTAAAAGGGTTCTTGTCATTAGTGGTTTCACTACGGCTCTCCATTCTCAATGTCGATAGCCATAGATCAAGCTCATAGTTCGTTTAACATACTTGGCGATAAATATTTATATTTATATCTATACATTATTATAGTTTTTGTACTAAGATAAAACGAGAGGTTACCGGCACCCATAGACACTATAATTTTAACACAGTCTGAGCAGATTATCGAAAAGTATTTCGTCTATCTTTAAAAACTTTTTTTTTATCGTTTTCAGTTTGGCTGTGGCTGTTAATATTTATATTCCAAAACGAATTCCGGATATCGAGATCCATTCAACCTGGTGTAAGTTTTTTTTTCGATTCTAAATTTAATAACGCAATGAAATTGTTTTATTTCAATAACTAGCTTCCCGTCCGTAACTACGCTTGCGTGAACTAGAGTTCGCGTGAGCGGAGACCGGGCTCAGAAGTAGGATGAAAGTAGCCTAATTTTTTTCCCAAGGTTCCTAAAATCAGTTCTTTAAACAGTTCGATATTTTGTATAACGTCATCTGTTTAATTAAATTAACATATCGTTTCAGTATTTGGATTTCGATAACCTACCCGAGACGAACTTTACGTGTGCCGGCAAAGTAATCGGTGGTTACTATGCTGATTTGGAGACATCGTGTCAAATGTTCCACGTGTGCACAGTCGGCCAACAAGATGAACCGATGGATATTAAGTTCCTCTGCCTTAATGGCACTGTTTTTGATCAGGTTAGTCAACGAACCAAATGATCAAACCCGCTTTCTATTACTACATACTTTCAAGGCTTCACTTTCCGCTTAAATTTTCTTAGACAAACGCAGCTTAAAACACTCATTCGTTGAAAAGACTCGCACTACATATTGTACGTTTTTGGTAATACAAAGAAAATCTTAATGACAAACCACATTATTGTCTTATCTTATCTTAGTACTGGATAACCACGGCGAGCCAAATACCTCTAACACTTCGTCCCTTGAGGATATTTTGTAAGAAGAACCGTAAATATCTAATATTCTAGACCATATTTTTATAAATATCGCTCTTGTATGTAAATTTAGTGTAACTTGTAAAGGACCAGATCTTATAGATATCCTAATTCTTGCATAGGTACTTACACACACACGTTAATTACACACGTCCTCGCTTGCGAGACAGATGTCCGATGGTCCAAGACTATTTACTTTAGTTCATATATTAAAATATATACTATATTAATCTAATTTTCTCCGATTGCGAAAAATTCATTCTCCAATATTATTGTTAGCTTCCTTTAGATTCTGCTATATTTATAAAAAATATCAAAGTGCATATTCATCATTGCTTCAATATCACAATTGGTCTTGCTCCAAATAAACTGCAGACAGTCCTCAGCTATAGACAGCAGATTTGGCAATGCTCCTAGAATTGCTAATTTTTTTGATGATAATAATGGCGATTTGCCATTAGGGAGGGGCATATTATCGTATGACTACATGCTATTAAAAAACATGTACGTCTAGTTCAATCCATTTTAGCGTTTCTTTTTAATCTCGTGGATTAACTTCACTAACTACCACGATAGAATATTCCGTGGAATACTAGAAACAACTTTAGAACGTTTCCAGTCAATCAAATAATTAACTAGTGAAGTAATACAATACGAATAAATTTTCAAATATTCATATTCTAAACACTAACAAATAGAAAACAAATTTACTTTTTCAGTTCTTCTGTTCAGTCGTACTAAGAACACGGATATAAACAAGAAGTGTACAGATTTTCTTTGGCCAAACGGAATCTGTAGCTTCATTTTTTTATATATTTTTCAGACAGCTAATGTAGTATTTGATGGTTCACAAAATTAAGTTTTTTTTTTATAGAAGATTAATTGTATTTATCATCAGTTAAAGTAATTATTGATAATAGTAAAATAAAATAATCATTTCCTTTCTTACGAAGAAAACCCAGCTTAAAGTCCACCTAAATGGTGATCGTTATCCATAGAGCTCAGTAATACCAAGGGTACAGCAAAGCATCTAAGGACTTTCCTCGGATCTTGTTTGTGAATGGACGCAGTTGTTACAGATAGTCTAGATATTCTATATAGTAGGCATAATTTCAGCAAAGAGATAACGGGATGATCTCATAATAACCATCCCATAATAATAATAATCAGATCATAATATATTTCTTTTTTCTCATATTACAGGAGACAAGAGTTTGTGAACGAGTTGATGAAGTAGATTGCACGAAATCTGAGAAATTCTACAGTCTAAACTTAGAGTTATATGGTAGTACTGCTCCACCCATAATACAACCTGAGCAGAATAAGTCGGAAACAACGAACAACAAACGAGAACATGAAAATGATCCCTCAATAGACGAAATTTATACGACAGCTCATAATAAATCGCCACAACAAACGCACGATATTCCCGACTCAACCGAAGATCCTGTCCAAGATATTACAAAAGACGACCATAGATATACTCAAAGCATCTCTTCAACATATTCAGCTTTACCGCCATCTGGAAATGATGAACTAACGGAAGGTATGTCCTTTTTTCTATCACATAATCAAAAAGGATTTTAAATACTGATATTGATACAATATTATTCTCTATATTATATTATATACTATATTATTCTCTATTGTTTTATGATTAGAACATCAGTTGAAAACATAAAATCTTTAATTTGTAAAAATGTATAAATATAATTTATTTGCTATGTCGTAACCTGTACAAATGTAAACCAACAAAGAAACTTTCTGAATTCCAGAATATCAAGACGAGGATAATACTGATGGCGGCGAATACGAAGACTATTCGCATGCTCATTCTACAACTACCGAAACTCCAACAACCACTACTTCAAAAAAACCTACAACTTCAAAACGCACTACAACAACTACAACAACAAATCGTCCATCTACCTCATCTCGAACCACATCATCAATACCGTACTTAAATTCATCGCCAACGCCTATTTTATCTTCAATTTCTCCACCGTTTTCTTCATCACTGCAACCATCAGCACCTTCGGCACCATCGGCAATATCTTTACCGAATTTAGACCCAACGATTTTGTCACCCCAGGAATTCATATATCGTCATCAACAAGGAACAGAGGCAGTATCGTATCAGAGCTTCCGTCCTGCCGATGGTGTTTATATCACTCACGCTCCACCTCAACAGTTCGATCATTTTCAATACGAGTCATCGAGAACCGCACCGCGGCCTACTGCACCGCGACCAACGCCTTTTGCTCAGCGACCACAGCCGGCACCTTTCAGGGCAACTACTTTAGATCCAAGAGATCAACTTTTAAGACCTGGGCCGTCATCTCAACCGTCTGAAAGACATGAAACGACTGTAAAAAATAGACAACCACAACAGCAACCACAGAAAACATACCCTTCATCACTTCCAGCACAACGACCCTTACCGTTTAATCCATATTTTTACGACAGAAAACGAAGCGATGATTCAGCTTCTGAAAATCAATCTTCTTTATCAGCACGATCGGTGGCTCCTCCAGCAGTGACCGAACGGCCTCCAGTCAGATTAAAAAGTCCACCACGTGTAATCGTTACTGCTAGTGCTTCGGTTAGTGATAGCAACGGAAAAAGACTTAACTATACCGTGGGGAATGTGGTTAGTGCGGTAAAACCAATTGTGCCAATTAATTACGACGATTATAAGGAATCCGACCTTATATTTGACCCATTCTTTCTCGATGTGCCAAAACTTCAAAAAAGACGAAAGACTAGGTCGAACCATAATCGTAGTATTTTCACAGCATCTGCTACCGCCACCGTTTCTTCACAATTATCACACGATAAAGTCACTGTCGCAACTATAACGGCAACATCCAAGACAACAACAACAAAACGATTAATAACGTCACCTATTATCGCAACGACCACCGTGGGGTGGGATCCAAACGATTACGTTGACGATAATTATGAGCCGCACGCTTACATTCCACCAATACCACCACTTGCTATATTAGTTTCTCAAGATATTGAAAAGCATAAAATACAAAATAACCAATTGAATAACAAAATACATGGAGATAATAATTTAAAAAAAGACAAAACGAAAGCGGGTCGCTCTCTTTCCTTCAAGGTGACAACCGAGCCTTCAGAGCCGATTACTTCTAGTCAAATAAAAAAAGCAGAGACAGTGGCTCCTGTTGCTTCTCCACCATTCTCGCCACCACTTGAGGCATCTCTTCGCGCTTTATGACGCTCCTCTGATTGACTCCAATAAGTTTAACGTTAGCTCATTGAAATGCACATCCACAATATTATCTTACATTATGTTTTAGTGTGGATTCGAAAAAAATATTTCAGTATGAATGTTGCCAAATAAATTCACTGGATGATATTCGATTTTTTTTATTCTAAATACATATTATGAAATCTTAAACTAAATAGAAGCAATATGTTAATGTTTTGATGATAAAATGTCATAATAGTTCTAGTGCTTTGTGTTTTACTTTTGAAACCCTTTATATGGTTTCTCAAATTTATTATTTCTAGTTTAATGAGCCCCTGTTCGAAGAGAGAAGACATATTTATATTATATTAATTTATAGTTGTAGTAAAATCCTTTTATGTGTATTTCCATATGTAATGTAAATATTATGAACAATTCTGATGATGCAGAGAATTTTATTAATTTCACAATTTTTATACATAAGCAATAATTTACATTTAATTTTAAAATCATATCTAAGAACAATTTTGTAAATATATTTTGAAATATAAATCATTATACATGTTTTTGCGTTATTTATTTTCTATCCTAATTAGTCAGTATCTATGTATAAATATTACTTCCAAACTACTTTAAATATTAGAAGTTTTCTTGATCAATTTGTATACACATTGACTTAAAAAGTTCCACACACAAGAGATATTACCATAGACTTAAATTGTTTGTCAAAAAGTAACTAAAATATTTACGAAAAATTAACCTTGTTAAGCCGACTAGTTTTTAAAAGAAAAATATTTTTGCAACGTGCTGATTAAAAACTTAATTAATATGACTTCTTCCGATTCGAGTATTATGAGCGTGAGAGATATGATTGATGCTGCTTTTGGAGAACCAGAGGTAAACCTAAAATTAGATTATCAATTTTTAGTTCCACTACTAAGAGTGACAGAGTAATTGCCTGACCGCATCATTTTTAGCATCTAATATGTATGCATACAGTATAAGAAAAAGAAACCTCTATAAGTGAGAGTCGTGGATTCTCACATTTTTGTATTTGGGTCTATAACTGAAACTGCTGCTTATCTATAATTTATTGCGATCAATGTGCTATTGAAAGAAAAGCGAGTCTTTAAACCTCAAATAAAACCGCTTTCATGGTAAGTGTAGATCAGATCAAAAGTCTTAAATTGAAACCAAAATTTGTTTTTAATTTTCGCTAGAGAGCGGTCGATCTCGCTCAGCTTTCTTAAACGTTTAGGAGATTCCATGGACAGCATAAATGGCACCACTCAACTTGAGCAACATGTTGAACAGTATGCTCGTTTTTCCTCCAGTAAAATTATCTGGCTATATTTATATATTATGTATATTTTTACTATATCGAAAGAAATATTACGATTTTAGAAGATTCTTAATTTTAATTTGTGTATTTGAATGCTAATGATAAATAGCAGTGCAGCTCGCATTTTCTCTTAAATAGACACTGCGAGGCGTAGACGAAACCGAACTATATTTGAAAAAATAATAATAATATAAATGTATTAATCAGAATTCACATTAAAAGTGTTATGAAAATAGACGGGACAATCACGCTAACGGATGTAAGATACGGAATATCATAAACCTTTCGTTTTCTTAAATTTTTTACGTCCATTCCAGACAAACGTTGTAAATCATAAACTTATACAAACCATACTTTATCTGCTTGCAAAACAACTACGACTCCTGGAACGACACGTTAAAGTAGAAATTGGACCATCATTAAACATTACTTCAAACACCAGCTTGTCTATAACAGAAATTAAATTACATGCAATGCAAAAAAAGAGATCAAAACCTGGTAAAGTTAAAGACGATAAAGGGAAAATTGAACGAGCAAAAGCAGATGCGCTGTCTGGAATCAAGGGAAGATCAAAAGAAACAAAAGATGACAAAGCACCAGAAATAACGACGACATCTGAAAAGTCTACTTCTGACAAGTCTTCAAAACATATTGCTTCTTCGGATAAAACAGATCCTGAAAATGTAAGCTCTTTGCGACCATTAAAGGAGACAACTTCACAAGATACATCAGATTCTGCTAAAAAAATGTCAACCGAAAAAACATCTTCAAGCACTAGCGAAAAGAAAACTACCGGACTAAAAAAAACAGTAAGTTTCTCTTTCCCACTTATCTGCTTAAGATATTATGAACTTTAACCTTAAGTAGCAACCTAGACGGCTAAAAACATTTTATTCGTACATTCTCTCAGACACAGGATTACACAAAATTGCTGGACGAGTTAGAGGAGCAAAGAGAAAGGCAACTGCGAATCATCCATCAGGTGCAGATAGCTTGTACAAACTTTTTTTGTTTTTTTGTTTATTTTACACAGGTGGAGCTTCGCGGTCTTTGAAAAAATCGTAAGTGTATTACTGTTATACATGGTATGTTCTTTAAATATCACTAATGAGATAGTATGAGTATTTTCTTAAATTCATTCTAATAAGGATAACTGTAGCAAGCTATTGTATGCTAACATACTTTAGTGGTGAGTGGTCACTATAATTAATGGATACATATCAACAATGCCTGACGGGCGTCTTTTTTTGTCACAAAGAAATTTATGGACTCCCGCTTATGAACTAGATTTGTAGGCGCTATGTTTGTGTAAAAACTTTTATTCGGTTTCCTCTTCTTGGCTATTGATGGTTCCCAATTCATACGAAGGGAGCTCGAGAAAAAAGAAGTAGATGCTAGGTAGATACTACCTACTGCTATTTATTCAAGATTAACACACACATATATTTACTTTGTTAAAGCACTATCTATTGTCTCGCGGACTATCGGGGTAGCGTTGCATACTCGTCGTTTCTCAAATTTCGAAGCCTTGACCAGCCCTTGACTGGGATGTTTCGCCACGATAGGTTGTGATGAGTATAATTCGACTTTTACGAGTAGCTTTTTGAATGAGGCGTAAGAATGAGCACACTTCGCTTTCTGCACTAATTCGTTGTTGATGAGCTGTGGGCTGAGACTTTTAGATGTTTTTTTTTTTCTCGAGCTCCCTTCGTATGAATTGGGAACCATCAATAGCCAAGAAGAGGAAACCGAATAAAAGTTTTTACACAAACATAGGTAGCATCTACCTAGCGGCAAAGAATATCAGAAATTAATACAGTATTTTAATGTTAATGTAATAGTATCTTATCCCGCTTAATAATTTGGTTTACTACAATAATCAACATATTTTGTACAATTTACACTACCTACTGATGTTTAAGAAATCATTACTGACGAAAAAAGTGTATAAAATCGAAATAATCTATATCTGGCTATAAAACTTCCACGGCTCAAATGTTGAGCCATTTTACATTTGCTAAATTCTAAATTTTGTCATTTGTTGTACAGAGAGCTGATTCGCGAGAAGTCCCGCAAGAAAGTCCAACTCCAATGGCTTCCCTTGAGTCAGTAGGTCAGCTTACGTGAATAGTTGAGCAAGTATCTTATTTGAACCAGTGAATTCTTAAAGAAAATTTTGATTTTTTTTCCTTTCAGAAGCACAGTACGAAAAATTACTAATCGGTAAAAACTTTCATTATTACTAGAATTGATATTTTTGATAATCATATTAACAAATAGATTTATTTTTATAGTTGAAAGAGTTCCAATGGAAGAAGCCAAAGGTAAATAATACACCTACAAGAGCTAATTTAAAAAAAAATGTAATGATTTAATTTTTTATTACTTTCTAATGTATTATTAGAAGGTAATAAAAAATTATAATATATTATTATATTATTAATATACTCTTATGTATTATTAAGCACGACATGGTAGTATCATGACGCCAACATTGTCTGTGGTGACACAAGAACAATTCGCTGAACTGGAAGCACAAATAAAAGCACTACAAGAAAAATTAGCCCCTACGGGAAAGGCAGATTTTCCTGAAAATGCACAACTACTACAAGAACTGCGTAAAGGTGCATCTTTAACAGATGCGATGGCTGCTTTGCAGCTATCTGCTCGACTAGAAGCTGCGGAGAAAACTCTTGATCAAATGCTGTCATTGCTAACGGAAGTTGCCATTAAAAAACCAAACATTGATCAACATCTTACAAAACAGGTGAATTTTGCTATCAGCGTTTTACAATTTAGTATATTCAAAAAAATCAAGAAAACAAATTGTTTCAGATAAAACCAGATAAAATGGACACTGGCTTACCAATTGCGTCATTCAAAGCACCTTTACAAGAAATATCAGTACCTTTAGCCTCTTCGAAAACTACTGATGCTACTATGCCAACGTTAGCGGCTGATGCTAAAGATCTCAATGATTTGACAATTTTAGACACATCAAAACAAAACTTTGATGTAGTAACCCGCGATGAATTGAAGTAAGGTTACGGTAATGTTTTATTTTTGTAATTTGCGGAGTCTACGATAACTTCTTTTTAATTTTTCAAATAGGACAGCAATGCAAGATCTATATGACGAAATAATAAAATCGACAAATAGTATAACCGCAAAAAGTACTTCGGACGCAATCAATGCTTTAAAGATTGCAAAAAAAATGGGTAAAATAAATTTTTATTGCAACAAGATTTTTAATTTATAATAGACGAAAATTTTCTAACTAGCTCTTAAAATTCGTATGTTACATTTAAACATTATGTTAATTACAGAAGAAAAATTGGATAAATCCGTCGATTTAAGCAATCGTATGGATGATCTAGAAACTTTAGTAGCAGATTACGCAGAACAAATAAATATTTTAGACACGGGACTCTCTTCTCAGGTTAAAACTCGCATTTAGTGTTTCTGTGGATAATGAATGACTTCAATAATAGTTTACACTTAGATTAACGTTCATTACAGATGACGAACTATCAAGAGCAGTTAACACAAATGCAACACGACTTAGAAAGTGGATTAGATAATATGGCGGAAACACTCGCTAATGCCGGTGGAGACACTACTGGTACAATTTTTGATTTGATAATATTATTCAATCATCAAAATAATAAATTGTATTACATGTCGAAGTTTTCATCTTGCAGCTGTTACAGAACTAAACGGTCATTTTTCTAATCTTCAATTTGATCTAGAGAATATGTTTCTCAGCCAAAAGGAGTTAAATGACAATCAAAATAAGCTGTCCGTGGATCTAGAGGTATTATATTGCTTAAATGGCTTACACTAATTTAAATTATAAATCGACTTTATTATTTAACCACGATAAAAGGGCTTATGGCAGCATATTGAAGTACTGCGATCGACAAAAGCTGACCGAGAGGAAGTAGCAGATGCTCTTCGAGACAAAGCTGGTATTGCAGCTTTAAACGGATTAGTTTCTTTACAACAATTCGATGCAGTTCAAGGTGATTTTGAAAAACGTATCTTGACAGCATATGATAAATTCAACAACCAAGAAATGATATGGCAAGTAAGTAACACTATGTAAATCTTACATTCATTTTAAATTGAAAAAAAAAACTCCGACTATTCGTTTCGACTATCACTAAATATGAAAAATTCTCACAGCCACTTAATTTTATTGCATTGAATCGCATATAACTGGTATATTTATGGTAATTATAAAATTATTTTTGTAATGCCAACAAGAAAGTGTCGTCGCCTAACGGATAAGACGTACGGTGCATTCGTGTTGAGCGATGCACCGGCGATGCTCAGGCGGGTACCAATTTTTCTAATGAAATACGTACTCATCATGTTCACACTCATGTTCACACTCATGTTCACACTCATGTTCACACTCATGTTCACGATTGACTTCCACAGTGAAGGAATAACATCGTGTAATAAAAATCAAACCCGCAAAATTATAATTTGCGTAATTACTGGTGGTAGGGCCTCTTGTGAGTCCGCGCGGGTAGGTACCACCACCCTGCCTATTTCTGCCGTGAAGCAGTAATGCGTTTCGATTTGAAGGGTGGGGCAGCCGTTGTAACTATACTGAAACCTTAGAACTTATATCTCAAGGTAGGTGGCGCATTTATGCTGTAACGGCTCACGCACAAGAAAACAATTGTAATCAATCTCTTATTATTTTCTACCTAACACAATTCACTACATAATTCAATGAAAACGACTAAAATTAAAATCAAATATGGGTTAAATAATTCCAGTTAGAAGTTACTAAAGCCTCGTACTCCACTATTAATATTTTATCAAAATAAATTTCAATCGTGGGTACTTTAATTTCATTCAGCAATGATACTGCTCAGTAGTTTGACTGTTCGACATTGTTATAATTTCGGTTTGGTGGTTATCGAATTTTCCTAAATTCCGCAATTCATTACGGAGTTTCTTTCATGTATTTGGTGTATTGTTATTATTTTATTAAATCTATATATCATTATACACAATAAAAACTAACGATTAATTAGAAGTCAACAGAAATCACAACTATGATTTTAACAAATTAAAAAGGACTTACAATTTTTTTCAGAAAGCTATTGACGATCTTTTGAGAGGCCTTAACGAAAAGGCAGACTACAATCAAGTTACTTCTTTACGTGACGAAATACAAAAATATCTAAACATGTTCAATAGTAGAATTAACGCAATGTCTGAAATTCTTGGGGAACCACGTGCTGCAGCTATCTTAAGAAAAATACATCGGGACTCTGCATGTTTATCTTGTGCCACCCCAGCTGTGATGGATTTAGAAGAGCCAGGCACAATACCAGCATTACCCGCTTTATCATCTAGATCCCCTGGAGTTGGGGCAGAATCTCTGAATCCAAAAGAAGATGGAGACCATCTTTGTTATCCTAGACACCCGATACCCCACCAAAAAGATTCGAGGTATATTATTTCTAATAACGTAGATATTCAGATGAGCGCAGAGGCCACTTGTAAAACAATTATTGAAGTAGACACCACAATATAGATTCCGCTGCATAGCAATGGCCTTGAAATAAAGAATAACATAAGACTCCAAACACGAGGGCATAATTGCTTCGACAAAAGATGTGGAAGACGATACCAATTTTTTAGGACCGATTATATCAGAACCCAAGTCAGTCCAGTCAAATTAATCAAATTAATGTCAGAGTTGAGTAGGCAAAGTTAAAGATACTATATAGGTACGGGCGAAAAATGTGGACGTAATAACTTGAGGCCAGTCGCATATTGGAATCAATCATTACCGTACCAGGCAACCAGTCCTAATAGTTTAAGGAAGTCGTCGTGGCCTAACGGATAAGACGTCCGATGTATTCGTGCTGAGCGATGCACCGGTGTTCGAATCTCAGGCGGGTACCAATTTTTCTAATGAAATACGTACTCAACAATTGTTTACGATTGATTTCCACGGTGAAGGAATAACATCGTGTAATAAAAATGAAACCCGCAAAATTATAATTTTCGTAATTACTGGTGGTAGGATCTCTTGTGAGTCCGCGCGGATGGGTACCACCACCCTGCCTATTTCTGCCGTGAAGCAGTAATGCGTTTCGGTTTGAAGGGTGGGGCAGCCGTTGTAACTAGGTATACTTGAGACCTTAGAACTTATATCTCAAGGTGGGTGGCGCATTTACGTTGTAGATGTCTATGGGCTCCAGTAACCACTTAACACCAGGTGGGCTGTGAGCTCGTCCACCCATCTAAGCAATAAAAAAAAATAAAAAACTTGTTTTAAAATGTAATGACAAATTTCTTAAAATTTGTGTATATATCTTTATTCAGATCACACGCGTGCAATCGATATTGTGGAGGTTCGCATACAATACTTAACAATATGAGTAGAGTTCCAGCGGGTATGGTCGTCACTCCTATAATACGCCACGTTGCAACCGGACTTGGCTCTGATGGAAAAGTAAATAAAATTGGTTATTCTTTATTGTAAACAAAGTTTGGTTCTAAACTTATGTTTAGTGATACATTACGTTTCATTGTACTGGTGGTAGGGTTCTGTGTACTGGTGGTAGGGTTCTGTGTAGAAGCCCGCCTGGGTTGGTACCACCGTCCTGTCTATTTCTGCCGCAAAACAGTAATACTGTGTTCCGGTCTGAAGGACAGGATAGCCGGTGTAACATACATAAGGCTGCCCATCCAGGCCAGGATAGGCAGAGCATCTGAGTTACTGATGTAGTTTGGATGTCTATGGGCGACGGTTATCATTTTCCATCAGATGAGCAGTAAGCTCGTCTGCCTATCGAAAGCAAAAAAAAAAAAAAATAGATAAAATCAAGTCTCACAGATAAAAAATAGATGATGCAGGGCTAGTATTCAATTGTCAGGACCAGTTATCAGGTAAAATGCATCTTAAAAAAAGTTTTAAATGTGGCAAGAATAAAATAATTACATTTACTTTTTTTACGTATTTATATGCTGGTAAATTTTTGAGATTTACTTGAAAAAAAATCATCTTTTGATTGAAAAAGTTACTAATGCATGCTCACCCGATCCTGTGGACCGAATGGTAAACAGTCGACGTCGCTCTAAACACGTCATTGCGGATCCTCACGATCCCTTAACAGTGCTTTTACGTACCTCAAGCACCGGTGACCGTCTTCGCCGAACCCGTCGCTTGCGACGAAGGGCTCGATGAGTAAATTAACCCATAGACAGCCTGCTGAGTTTCTCGCCGGATCTTCTCAGTGGATCGCGTTTCCGATCCGGTGGTAGATTTGGCGAAGCCCTGCTTTTGCTAGGGCCAGTGTTAGCAACACTCCCCGTTTGAGCCCCGTGAGCTCACCTACACGTTAGGGTGAAGCTGAAATAGCTTCTCAAGGCTATCAGCATAGGTAAGAAAAAAAAAACGCGTGTTCCAACGCGTTATATTATAAATTAACTAATTTCAACTCTTTATATTTAATTTATGTATGTACCTACCTATATGAAGTTATTAAAAGAATAGTAAACCAAGTAGGTAGTTAGTGCAAATCAAATCTATTGCCGCTCTTAAATGTCATCAATAGGTATTGAAGGAAGAATGTATTCACAACACGTAATTAATTTTCTTATATTTCAATTATAGGTTTATCGGTTAGAAGACACTATCAAGCCATGTATTCCTTGCAATACATTAAAAGCAATTAGTCCACGGCAATCAACCGTCGGTAAATATTAAGAGATTTGTATAAAATATTCCGTAGAATCCACAATAATATCGTACAATAATTTAATTTAATACAAAATTGTAAAACTAAATCTTCTTACATAAACCACTATTTTTTATTACTTTCAATTAAACATACTAACTCATGTAATAGAACGACATTTCATTATTTTTTTCTAGCTTGAGGTGAAAGCCTAATTCATCACAGGAATAAGTTTTGATCATGAATCAACGTTAGCTTTAATCCAACGATATGATATTTACTATTGAGATAATTTGTTGACATCTGCTTCGCAATTTGTTCTATCGTGAGTTTTCAGGATGTACGACACATTTTAGGATTTTAAATATAACGTTGGAGAAAGAAAAAAGTTTATTTTTTAACATTTGTAATATACAATGATGACTTAACAAAGCTCGGAATTTAAAAAGAAAGTTGCAATTACTGTTCGCGCGACAGCTTAGACATCATTCTCAAGTAACATGTACCTACGAATTAATTTAGGCAGCGGCTTGGCTCTGCCCCTGGCATTGCTGAAGTCATGGGCGACGGTGACCACTCACCATCAAGTTGGCCGTATGCTCGTCTGCTTACAAGGGCAATAAAAAAAAAATTCAAACGAAAATAAATCATTATTTTAGTTCCAGCTGTACCCAGTTCAGCAACATCAGGTATAACTCCTCCAGAATTTACAACTGAACCGTATACTTCCTGCGTGGATGCAGTTTCTATAACTCCACCACCATACGCCATTTATGAAGAATAGAATAAAAATACTCCATCATTTCTTTGTATAGTTCATTTCAATGTCGACATAATCAAATTATTGGAAATAAATTTATACATGCTTATGAAAACCTTACATTTTGATTTTTTTTTGGGAGTAATGGGCGTGGCATATCAGAGCATGACCAACCAAAACTCCCTGTTTTCGGATACCTCACTTCCGAACCTCGGATGAGGCAAAAAAATCGGAGACAAACGTGGGCAAGGCGGTCCCGGGGGACACTGAACTAACAATCGTTGGTGCCACGATCACTAAGCCTCTCAGCCTGTCAATTCGCGCCTCTGGGAAACACCACTCGATGGAAACTAATATGGATCGGGGAGTGCGGGAGTGCGGTCATCTTACCCGTATGGAGCAACATAAGGGTCAACCTCGAAAAGCTTAAGTCGTAAGGATTCAAGCGTTACTCCTATTCCGGCCCCCAGCTTGGCAGCGATGGATCCGTGCGAAAAACATCACACATCCCAATGCAGGAGTCTGATGGTTCACTCGTAAAAGTCAAGCACCGCCCAACATGACAATTCACCCGTCGCGAATATTTAACCAGCTTCCGAGGACAAAGCGTAACGCCTTGACCACAAGCCGGCCGGTCACCGGTCAGATTAAATTTAAATCAAGACTTGTGAAGTTAAGACACTCATTTAACAATGCCTAAACTGGCAGATCTTTACGAAACAGACGCTTGGAAAAGCTTTTTCTTTTTGAAAAAATTATAGGATATTATAGCTATTCCTATGTAAAACATTCAGATACAATAAATACATTTATTCCATAATCTACAGTAAATTCATAGTAAATGCTATAATCATAATAACGAACACTTTTTGGCGTGAGCATGAGGTGGTGTGGAATTGTACTGGTATTGTGTGTCTAACCCAGTGTTTTTCCGATGTAAAAATATTGTTCTAATCGTTGAGTATATAAAAATGAACAGGTGGATAAAAATAATCGTAGGATATGGTTTCTCAACCTTTCCCGAAAAGTTTTGTACATTAAGGGCGATATATTCCCATTACTTTACAGATTGTTCGAGATTAAAAACAAACGGAGCAATTTTTTTAAAGGCTTTTATGACCTGGTGACTGACTTTTAGGTCAAGTCCTATTTTAATTTATATTCTTATATTTTTATGAAAAATGATATTATTGAGTGAAATGAAATGAAATGAAGATGATTAATTTGAGACATTAATCAACTGGGATGAAATTAAATGAATTGGGATGAGATGATATGGGATGAAATATAATCTCAGTAAAATGGTACTCATTTACTGAGATTTTTTCAGTAGATTTTTGGAGGATCCCGAGAAGTTACATCTAGCAGCTTTGTTTCATTTCCCCACATTTGTGCACTTTCACAGATATTGAGCAGTTAATAAACCACCGTTATTACACATTACCTGAAGAAACACTAAATAGACAAAATAAAACAAATCTCACAACTCCAATCCTCGCTTTCCCGCCAAAAAGTCTTAGCAATATTTTTTTTAGGTTAGATCATAGAATATACGTTAATATTTAAATAAAAGTATAACCTTAAGTGTATAATCTATTGTATATGTTTCGAATCAATGTTTTGTCTTCTCCAGTCTGTAATTACTGCAATAATAGTATACAGTCCCTTGATCACATTTTCTTTAGTTGTTCTGCTTTCTCACTGGATAGATTAGTGTTTATAGACCGTCTGCTGTGTATATATGAAAATGCTGAGGACATCCCGCGTACTCTTCAGCTATTATTAAGAAATCAAGAAAGCTTTAAGCCAATTTATGAATTTATAGATTCAAAAGTTGGAGATATCTAAAAGTGGGATTACAAAGATTTGACGAAGTTATGGCTCTGTCCATAACATTATGATATTTTGTTTACTGATTTTTTTTTATTTCAACTAAGATTTAAAAACGTCTTGGACTTGGATTTGACAGTAAAACTCGAATTTGCCATTTTACAAGGGTTGGAAAATATATAAGACTTGGCTTCGGCTTTTTTGAAAATTTATTTCAGAAATTATATAGAACACGAGGCTGTATAGGCTTAGATCCCTTTGCTTTTTCTAATAAGGAAAAATTGTAGAAAAAAAATAAATCTATTTTAATCTATGATATAACCTAAATGTGTTTCTGAATTAAGACAAAATTCAATTATATTAAACAGAAAATCAGAATTTAGGGTTGTTTGCTTGAATGCGATAACAATGTATTAATGAACGCTTAAAAAGACCATGTAAATATCTCTAAAATCAGACGTCTATTTACAGTTTGTTTGCTTTTCAAAAACATCATCTTTACTTGCAGTAGAAAATGCATAAAATCTTAGAATTCCAAGTTGTCGTGTTGGCCGCTGGAAAAGGTTCCCGTATGCCAGATGTCGGAGGATCAGTTTCGAAATGTCTCCTACCTGTTGGGCCGTACCCAGTACTATGGTATCCATTAAATATGCTAGAAAAAATTGGATTTCAAGGTACCTAACTCAAATTTAATTGCAAAATTTTCTATTGTAAATAATTTCAATTTCTGGTTTCAAACAGTATATTACTACAAATAATAAAATTCTATAATATACATTATTAGAAAATCTAAAATAAAAAATTTATTAACTGTATGAAAAAGCCATTTTTTGTAAACGGAAGATCCTAAAGGTAAACAAATGAGATTTTTTTTTTATTGCCAATGTAGTTAATTATACACTCGTCTGCTGAGAGTATGATGACGTGATGACAATCTTAGTTGCTCATTGGACATTAACAATACCAGGGGCACAGCCAAAATCTACCTACTAAGATGCGCACAAACTGATATCTTACAGTGCATAGATATTTATTATATATAGATACTTTATTTCAACAAAACTATTATAAACTCAACCTAAATATTTTCTCATCAGTAAACAAACTGCAACATCCCTCATTTACAAATTTATTTTTCTCTAATTCTTTAAAACTAACTAATAATCTTATATTTTCAGATGTAATGATTGTGGTACTAGATGAAGATAAATCTAACATTCTTAATGCACTAGAAAAATGTCCCTTAAAAATAAAATATGAGTTGATTGTAATTCCATCAGAAGAAGACTGGGGTACAGCAAATTCCTTAAAGCATGTTAGTGCTAGAATCAATACAGATTTACTAGTCATATCAGGAGACCTCATTACTAACATAAACCTCAATGATGTACTGAACCTACACAGGAAACATGATGCATGTGTCACTTCCTTGTTCTTCAATAATGGTCCTGAAGAGTGGATTGAATTACCGGGACCGAAAACTAAGTCCAAACCTGATCGAGACTTAGTTTGTATAGATAAAGAGACTGAGAGACTTGTTTTTCTGGCAAGTGCCAGTGATTTTGAAGAGAATGTGACAATACCAAGATTACTTGTGAAAAAATATGATGCTTTGAGCATATATAGTAGATTATTGGATGCACATGTCTATGTAATGAAACACTGGATTTTAGACTATATTGTAGATTCCGAAAAATTTACCTCGATTAAAGGTGAAGTTGTTCCTTACATTGTTAAAAAGCAATTAACAAAACCTAACAACTTAGTGGAAAAGAAAGGAACCTCGGAAAAGAATGCAGAAATTAATAAAGGCATTTTTGACTATGCTGTAGAGACAGGCTATGAGCGTAAGATAAGAGAAATATCAGCATACAATGATCATAAGCATGGTAACAAAGGGGTGTATTTTAATGATGCTCTTAGATGCTATGCACATATTCCTAGTAAAAATACATTTGCAATTCGTGTTAATACACTATCATCATTTTATCTATCCAACAATAAGGTATGTTTTATTTGCTCTTTAATATTTCAAAACAAATAATCTCCAGAAAGTTAGAACAAAACTTGTTTAATATTGGATTACTTATAAAGATTCAATGGGGTCGCACCATTAATTTAAGAATTTGCATTTGACATTTAAATAACTCATATTGTTGTAGATTTTTTGAACAGCAGATTTTTTTTAACAATTTCCAATGTCTTGTGGTTCAATCCATCAAGAAACTTCAAAAAATTATGTCAATTAACAAAAAACCTTAATTTTCATTTGAAACAAAGAAAAAGAAGTTTACACTTGCATACGTTTACAGTTTTATATAGATTGTTTATTAGGTAGGCCACCAGATATTTTTTATTTTTACCCAAATAACTCACGAAATCATAAAAAAAGTAATTTTAATGGCATTTTTAACAGATTTTATCAAAATGGCAAGATCTTACTGGATCATCTCTGTTTGAAAGATTTCACCCTAACAGTGAGGTGAAAACAAAACAGATTGATGATAATTGCACTGTTGGAGAGAAAACTATTATTAATGAAAAAACATCAATAAAAAATTCATTTATTGGCTCAAATTGTAATATAGAAAACAAAGTCAGACTAACAAATTGTATACTCATGAACAATGTGACCATCAAAGAAAGGTATGTATATATGATAGAACTAAATAAAAATAATCACAGATATGTATTTATATATTCAAATATAACTAAAAGATTGTTATTAAAACAACTTTTTACTTGACATAAAATGTTTAAAATAAGATAAGGAAGAAAATCTCAAAGCCTTGCACAATTAACAATGACTCCCAAAGATTGTAGGGTTAAGTTTGCTGCTGGAGTATCACCAATAGAAGAATACTACAAGGAGATCACAATCCTCAGTATTGAGGAGAATAATGCATCTTCCTTGCATGGGGAGTAGATAGAATGTAATCTTCTTTTTTTTTTTTTTTCAACTCAAAAGCTCAAACCTGATGACGTTGCTAACACGAACCCTAGCAAGAGTCGTGCTTCGCAGAATCTACCACGGATCGGAAACGCGACCCACTGAGAAGATCCGGCGAGAAACTCAGTGGGCTGTGTCTGAGAGTTAATTTACTCGTCGAGCTCTTCGTCGCAAGCGACGGGTTCGACGAGAACGGTGACCGGTGCTTGAAGTACCTAGAAGCACCGTTAGTGGATCGGGAGGGTCCGAGATAACGTGTTTTGGGCGACGTCGACTGCTTTCCATTCTGTCCGCAGGATCGGGAATGATGTAATCTCACAAACTCATAAATTCCATACTGATTATCTTTTGAGAACAGTAAAAGTAGATTAGAGACTCATCAAAGAATCACCAACATTTACTGGTACTAGTGCCCTAGCCTGCCAGTGCGATATCATCATTCTGCCTATTTTTTTCATGAAGTAATCATGTTTTGAATGGTGAAACAGTTGTTTTAAAATACAATAAATTCTTAAAACTCATGTCTGAAAATGGATGGTGGTATTCACATTCTATGAGCTCCGATAACCCTTTAAAATTAATTGAGCTATGAGCCACTGTCCACTTATAAGTAATAAAAAATAGAAGTTACAATTTTCTCGGACTCTATCTTTAATAAGAAAAGTACAGATCTACAACAAGTTGTAAATAATTATAAAGGTAATTTCCACTTAATTTTTTCACAGCTGTGTTCTACAAGATTGTGTTGTCTATACCGGAGCGACAGTAGGCACCAATTGTTCAATGCAATACTGTCTTATAGGACCTCACCATTTGGTTCCGGAATCAACTAAGAGCAACCATCAACTGCATGCAGAAACTACAGATAACATGATAACGCTTGGATAAAAAAAATGTCAATACTGTACCTACCCTCAGTTGTTTGTATGGTGTACTAAATTAAATACTATTCTCCTTTGAGGTGATTTTCTTTTAAAAAAAAAGCAATACATAATTTTAACTCGGTAAATAATAAATATGTCGAAGGATTACCATAAGCTTTGAAAAAAAGAGTATTTACTTTCTTAAAATTTAAAAATTGTAAATTTAAAGAACAATTTATTGTTCAGGAACTTATACCATGAAGAGCAGGTGAGCTCATGGGGTTATAACTTGGTGACGTTGCTAACACTAGCCCTAGCGAGAGCAGTGCTTCGCAAAATCTACCACCGAATCGGAAACGCGACTCACTGAGTAGATCCGACGAGAAACTCAATGGGCTGTGTCTGTGGGTTAATTTGCTCGCCAAGTCCCTCTTCGCAAGCGACGGGTTCGACGAGAACGGTGATCGGTACTTGTGTTAGCTTTTTTTTAACGCTGGGGAATCCATTATTGGACACCCAGTCAAGGTGGTAACAGACCGGGTTTTGTCGGACTCCTCCAGAGAAGATTAGGGAGAAGAGGAAGACCGAGGTCCTCTTCTTCTAATTTCTTCCGGGAGACTACTCCTTGAGAAAGACGCACGTGGCGCTACGCGACGTCAGGCATGCAAGACCATCCCCACAAAACCGACTACCGACTAAACACCATCGAACTCCACCGCTCTGACTTCACGAAACCCACGGTACCGCATAGAGCTTGTCGAAAGTCTGCTTGTGGTACCTAAAAGCACAGATAGTAGAGCTGGAGGATCCGTGTTTTGAGCGACGTCGACTGTCTATCATTCGGTCCGCAGGATCGGGTATGTGTTAACCGCCAATTAACTTTTATTATAGAGTAAACTTTGATGACTTTCAAAGTTGTCATCTGATTGCCATACAATAAACATACATACTGTTTCTTTTAATTTATACTTTTATATAAACACTGGAACCCATCACAATGTGGTTACAACCAATCAATCAAAATCCTTTAGAAAGTATGAAATCATTCCATCCTTAACATCAAACTGAAATGCCTGAATGCTTGGCGGCAGAAACGGGTATAACTTTAAGCTAAATAAATGTCTGAATAACTATCGGATATTAATAATATTTACTGGTATTAAGGTATTTTGTAAGCCTTGCCTTAGCTTGGGGCTTAGTCGATTAGCGAGATAGTATCGTAGTCTACGCTATCCTGCACGCCTTTCGGAACATTAATGCGTTCCATTTCTAAGGATGGGTCAGCCGTTAGTTATACTAACTGATCAAGATGTGCAGCGACATTCAAATTATAATGCTTATGAACTCTGGTAACCACTTAATCCCAGGTGTGCAGAGAGCTTGTTCACGCATCTATTCATTAAAATAATATTTACGTATTAATTATGGACTAAAATAAATTTGTTGAAATTAATAACATTGGGAAATCCGACTATGATGTTAGGTCGAACTTTGAGAAACAGAGTGCCACCATCAAACAAAATTACATAATAGACGAATATTCCTCATAGTGTAGAGCCTTTTCTCGTGAGAGGCCAATGTCTTGCATTCCAACTATTCGCAACGCAGATTACCTAATAACAACACGTAAGTAGCTCGCGACACCGAACCAAATCTAGCATGCATTTTCTCTGAAGTAACACAACAGTTAAACACATCTGATTTAAACGATACAAAACAGTTCTGTTGTAAGAGTATTTGGCACGTAATTATTTAGACTGGCGCCACTGTCAGATTTGTTGCAATTAAATATTGAAAGCTACATACGGGAAGGCGACAAGACACTCTTGAAATAACATACGGTATGTGACACACCTACCTACTTAAGCAAATGTTACTTAATATGTAAAGCAATTTACTTCTGAAGTGAGAAATTCTATTTTATTTTAAGTTGTTTATTAATAGGGAAATCTAGTTTTTATTTTATAAATATTGAGAGACCATCATATTTTTAAACGAATATTTAGTTTTCCTAAAATATCTATAACTATAAAGTTTCAAATTGGAAAAAACTTTTTTTTATATTTATTATAGCAATACCGTTAGCACACTGTTCAGTATCACAAAATAAATAAGAGTACCAACTCTACAAAGTAACAGCTGATGATAGTGTCAATATCATAGGGCATGACAATAAAATTCCAGAATTGCTATAACCAATATCCATCTTATATGTTTAACCTCTATAATCAGACACACGGTTCAGTTACACCTAACGGTTTCACAATTCCACTGATCGAAGTGCAGTAAAAAAAACAATAAATACCTACCTATTGCAATACCTGCCACTACAGTTCTCATTGGTCCCTATTCTTAGTTCACATACAATCTAAAGGTAAAAAATTAAATGATTGTACAATATTGTGTTAAAGCAAAAAGAAACGCGTTAATACATAAAAATAATCAAATTTGTTCAAAGTAATATAACTTTTACCAGTTTGCTAAATTCATTTATAATTATATATTATATAAAATAACGGTAGGTGCATAAGCACAGGCTAACTAAAAACTAAAAGTGGCCACTTCTGAATATCGAATTTCAATATAATTATAACAAATATCCGAAGCGAAGTAAATTGTCCCTTCATAACAAGGTGACACTCTACGAAACTTGCATACGTTCCGTCATGACCTATGCAAGTGTACTGTTCGCTCACGCGGCCCGTACACGCATAACTCTCTCCAGGTCATCCGATCCGTTTCTGCAGGATAGCCGTTGGAGCACTGTGATATGTGAAGAATGTAGATCTTCACGACGACCTAAATTCAGTACCGATACGTAAGTATCTTAAGGAAACGTGAGAACGCTACTTCGAAAAAGCGGCGCGACACAAAAACGTCGCACGAAACATGTGTTGTCGGATCCCCTGGATTCACTTTCGGTGCTTTTAGACCTCTCAAGCACCGGTCACCGTCCTCGTCGAACTCGTCGATTACGACGTAGAGTTCAATGGGCGAACCAACCCATAGGCACAGCCCACTGAGTTTCTCGGCGGATCTTCTCGTTGGTCGCGATTCCGATCCGGTGGTAGATTCTGCGAAAGACTGCTCTTGCTAGGGCTACTGTTAGAAAATTCTCTCAGGTTGAGCCCGTGAGCTCAGTTACCCGTCCGGCGCGGCGTTGCAGGAAAAAATTTAATTTTCCATAATTTGAATAACTTGATTTTCATTAAATTTAGAGCAACTTTCTAATCGAATGAATCTATTAATCCTGACCGCGAAAACTATTGTACGCTGCTTCTAATTATCGATATAAATCCAGAATAAAATCCTCAAAAATTCGAATTCGCTTACAAATCCAAATCATTATGTACTTTATTGCATCGATCGGAGAACGAACTTATTACGGCTTACCTTTCCTTCTGCGGCAAATGCACAGTTGGAATGAAGGTTGTAAAATAAATTATTAAGTAATATCCGTTTTTTAAATACGTTTTCGGTCAAGGCTAATAAACATCATACATTTAATCTACGGTCTGCTTCCCTCAGTGGTCGCAATCTCTATCAAGCATTTTAAACGATCTCTCAAGTAAACCAATCGATTTTGTTCCACTTTTCTCCGAGAGTGTAGATTTCTTGTTTTATTTTTATTGGCAAGTCTACTTTGTCGAGGCTGCGATTTCTTTTTCCTATAAAACTTTGATTATTTCAGTAGTACCTACCTATCTATCAAATATTTTTTAGTAAAATAAATTATTTTTATTAACCCAAATGAGAAAATAAACTCGTCTCATCTAGTGTTAGGAATTAGAGGAGAATGTAGAAAAAACATTAATAATTTATTAGCATTATTAATGGGGTTGGATAATAGGGCTAGTAATGGCAATTAGTATATCAAGTCCTGGTCGTATATCTAGATGTATCTGTTTATTTATTTCCATACTTTACATTACATACTTTTTCGAAACCAAACTATCGTAAAGTTACGGTAAGATCGCGGCGAATATAAATCTAATTTCAAAATCTTTAATCACGATTAGAGAGAGGCCTTAAGATACAATGTTAATAGCAAATTAAAATGAAAAAAAAACAACAAAAATTGATGGCCACATAAGTCCTCGAAGTTACAATGAAAGTGTTGCAGCGTCTGCAGCCGGTCTGCTGGTCGACGGCGCTGGGCTGGGGCTGGCCACAGAGTGCCACAGACAGTCAGAACCGCACTTTCCCGCGTCGCGCACGCGTTTCACGTCATTCTTTTAAGTTACAACATTCGATACGTAAAAAATTACGTGACTCCATTTAAAGCCATTTTAATTCGATGTGGATATATACAAACTAATAAAACCGACGTTATATAGAATTGTTCGGTAACAGGTTGCAATTAAATTCGTTCGTGTGGACTTTTGTGTACTTGAACGACAATATATTTTTTTCAAGTGTTTTTGAACTGAAAAGTGAAGGCTGTCGTTTACCAGTTTGGTAAGCCGTCATTACTAATTTTTACAGTTTCAATTTCTGTTGACACAACATAAATAAAACAAAAACCAAACTCGCCGTCATAAAATCGCATATTCCCCAACGAAACTGATCTTCACATATTAAACTAATACCCACAATAATATAAGAACATTTGACTGATATAATAATACAGAATCTATCGGAAGTTGTTTTTACTTTTACGTACGCAAGAATATAGTAATAAATCACAAAATATTAAAAGAAAATAACGCGGTACTTTAAGAAGTTACATATATCTCCGTTTCAATTATATACAAGGAAAAAAAAACAAATATCTAAAGGAACACTGCTAATTTCGTAATTTAATAGCAACGATTCATACAAAAGTTGCGCTCATACACCTCAAAACGAACCTTAATAAATGTTATGTACAGTCATTAGGACTAAACATTAACTTTTAGGTAAAGTTTTACACCATGAGTGATTATGAAAAAGTTCACAATTATTCTGGATTGATCAATATGTAACAATATTAATTTACATAAATCTACATTAATTTAATTGAGCCAACAGTATTTGGCGCTCTACAACAACCTTCTGAAAATCATATTTCACAAGACCTAATAATTTATGCAACATTCACAAACATAAAGTTTAATTGAAATAAAAAATACATACAATAATAAATAGGTACAGTGAATAAAGAGATACTTCTTCCAAAGAGAATTTACAAATAAATGTCTATTTATAAAGGATATGTTTTATTTATTTCGGCAAAAACTAAACTGCACCAAATTAGAGTTATTAATTTAAGACATTATTCGAAATACTGTGGAAGCTTAGCTTACGAAGTTTTAATTTGAGATAAAGGCCTTTCCAACTTCAATATGGGTCAGCGAACTCGAGGGCTCCGCAGAGGGGTGAAATAATTTGCTAATAGCTGCCCGAGCGCCTCTAAAGAAAGGCTAACAGCTCAAGAGCAACTGCTTTGCTTTACGACCGTATCGGAGTTCTAACCCGCTGAGAAGATCTAGCGAATAACTCAGCGGGCTAATGTTATAGGCTGGTAACCTATACTTTGGCTGCTTTGCGTTAGAACTAGTAGCCTTCAACGGTACCAAGAGTGGATCGTGGTAGGGTGCTTCGTGAGCCGGGTCAGGGTTGTAATTAACGGCGACCACAAAAAAGGGGTTATCGTGTCGCATCGCTGTCGTATATAAAATTCAACTTATACCTTTTTAATACCTTGGTTTTTACGTGGTAATTAGTAATACCAGCATATTATTTTATAGATATTGTTTTGAATGAGATATGATAAAAGAAATATACCTACCGTTCAACCAACGCATTGTATTTTCTCAAGCTTTCACTAGTTGTAGACTTAAATTTAAAGGACTCAACAAATTAATTTAACTACTATTCGCCTAGTGGTCCAAAGTTGATGGCAATCCCGGACAACTCAAAATTTAGATACAATTCTGTTTTTTTATTGTCATTTTCGTTTATTTTGAAAAAACTAAACTTTATCGATAATACAAAATGTCGTCAATAGCGCCTTAAACAAAAAAAAATCGATCGACAAACAGAGAAGTCAAAATAGAAGAAAGGGAAGTTTTTATCTTTGCCTGTTATAGATGATCTCATCGAACTAATATAATAATAATCCCTTAGTTAGTCTATTAATAACGGCCCCCATTACTGTATACCAGTTCCTGGTGGAAGTTAGTGTGGACTAAGCATATATATCGTGTCTCGCATGCGTTTAATTTCGATCTCCATAAGACCAGAGAAAATTCGACCATGGGACCTTTGAATAAGGATTGCAGCGAATTGTATACATTCTATAATTTACGTGACTTACCTGGTAGGTACATAGCATAATACATCTAGGTATTTTACTTTTTTTTTTAAAGAAATCATTCCTAATTCTTACAGAATATCAAGGGTAAATATTATCTCACTCTACTCACTCTAGGAAACTACTATCACTATAGGTATACTGATAGTAGGTATATAGTCCAGTATAAAGTTCATCTCACATTCTATACCCTCATTTTATTCGAAGATCGTAATAAAAACAAACACAATTGCACAATTGTTGTTTTGCCTTGGCGTTGTCCACTGTGTATTCCAATCACGTATGTAGTGTTAAGCAAGCAGCAGCGGTCCCACCGGGTCTTCGCTGCTTGCAACACAAAACGCTTTCTAATCACTGGAACCTTCGAAAACCAACAAAATTTTAAAACTGTATCGACGAGAACGCTTCGTTAAGATTCTTCGGTCTGTTTATGAAATGACGCTAACTGACAAGAGAAAAAGCAGTATGTATTTCTAAACAATACCTCGGTATACCATTATACTGCTTAAAATTCGCTCGTGCTTGGTTGGCAACTAATTAGGCATACAATGTTCGTTATTAATAACTAGCTGACCCGGCAGACTTCGTAGTGCCTCAATCAATAAATAAAAGACCTAAACTTTTGGGGGACACATTAAAGGAAACACAAAATTGTTATTTTTATTCAATTCTGAGCATTTTCATATTTATCCACCTTTTAAACCTTCTCTGGACTTCCACAAATAATTCAAGACCAAAATTAGCCAAATCGGTCCAGCCATTCTCGAGTTTTAACGAAACTAACGAACAGCAATTCATTTTTATATATATAGATAGATAGATAGATAACATAGGCGACAATAGTGTTCAAAACCGCGTTTGTAAATTACATTACATAGGACATTGGCTAATAAGTAAGTGAAATAGTACATTAAATCAAGTGCTTGGTATCCATATTAGCTTTACAAAACGGGAAATTCATTGCAAATTAATTTGACAGTAATATAAAATTGTTTGAAATTTTTAAAGCAATCCAGACCTTAAGTAATTATTCTCATTCTTGCCGTTTCTTTTATTGTTATTCAATGAAAAGAAGTAGGTCGATTTTCTTTCCTGCCTCTTCATGTGAAATAACGTAATACTAAAAAATTTTCAGTTCCTGCAAACAATGGCGATGCATTTACATTGTTAAAAAATTATTCTCAATACCTACTTTTATAAACCATTCATTTAAAATTCACTTTCAAGTGTCATGTAAAAATTAGTCATCTTTGATTATTCCTTTTTTTTCCTTTTGAGTAAATACACTTTCAGTAAAACAAAACATTTCACATAGGGTTCCTTGTACACCATATCCTTGAACTGTGTCCGAAACCAAAGATAGCCGTGTTAATTCTGGTTAAATGGGGCTTTAAAACATAACGAAATGAGAAATACCTCTGAAGAGAAATCGAGTATGAAACTTAACTCTAACTTTAGTAAAAAACAAAAAGCACCACCAAACAAAAAATAGTTTTTGGTTACAAAATTACCCATTTTTGTTTATTTCAAACTAACTTTTGGATTTTGTACCATTGAATTACGACGCGTGTAGCGCATAAAACTGTTTTCTTGTATGTTGTTGTCAGTAACTTAAACATGTAATTTATCACGTGGCGGCGTGATAAACAAATGGTACTTTAGCTTTCCTGGTGTTACGTGCAAACTGCGTAATTACTGAACCATGTTATGTGAAAATTGTGTTCATGAAACGTATAGCATGTTCAAAGCTATAATTCACTGCTTCGTTCAAATACAATTTTAATAAAAAAAACAACAAAATGAATGTTCATTTAAAACATGTTAGTCGCCTCACATTCATGTCTCACAAACAAAGCCCAAAAAATTTCAAAAAATAAAACTTAACCTACGTATCCGATATGATAGCATATTAAAATGACTTATGCTGATTTCTTACGGACAAATTTGTAAAATGAAATAGTGCATTGGATTGTTCAAAAAATCACGAATACGGTAATTGAGTTCAGTGGATAAAAATGTAAAATTACTCAACTCATGCGACGTCATATTCATTAGGTATCTTCTGAGATTTTTTTAATAAACACATGCATATCTAATTCGTTTAGTTTAGTTAAATAGATAATTTTTCTCGGAGTTTACGAATGTTCTTGTACAACGAAAAATACCTCCCAGTGAACTATAAAGCAGCATCTTCTATGGCAATAACCAATCTGCCTCGCAAAACTACAGAGGCTTTAATATGTATATGAAAAGAAAATGATGGACACCTGTATTTTACCATGCCTTACATACGCTTGCCAGACGTGGACATTTACGTGTAACATAAAAAATAAAATAATACCGTGCCAGAGGGGAATGGAACGCAGTATATTAACACAAGAAAATCAGAATCCGTCATACAAAGATAAGAAGCAAAGCCAAAACAGTGGACGCTCTCAAATATGCTTAACGACTGAAATTTAAGTGGGCTGACCACGTAGCACGACTCGGGGATGGGAAATGAAAATCTAAAATAACTGCATGGGACGGTCACAACTCCACAAGGCAAGCGGCGCGTCGGTAGACCGTACACGCGTTGGGAGGACGACATTAGAAAAGTTGCTGGACCACACTGGATTTATGTCGCCAGAGACAAAAAAAAATGGAAATCTTTGTAGGGGGGCTTCACCTGAGAGGGGTCTATGCATATAAATTAATTATAAAAAAAAAATTTAAGTGCATGGAATAAAAGGTTTTTTTTATTTATTCTTTTATTAATATGTATATGAATCCTAAATATATTTGCATGCTAATATTATATTTCAACTTTTTTATTTTCTACTTCTACATATATAGGTATATTTCTTCAAGGAGCCATTGATTGGCTGCTGCTACTACTAATAAAACTTCAAGTTCAAGATATTTAATACATTAATTCATCATATTATAAATCTATTTATAGCATAAGATTCGAATACTAATCGATATATTAATCTAAATGCGGTAGTTCAAACTATAGATTCTAGAAATCGATTCCAGTTCGTAACAGAAATGAGGGGGTTTGGAGAAGAACAAAGATGGCTGACCCATTATTACCATAAATAACATAAATACCCAAATAACATAAAATTTATCATTAAATTAAAGTAGCGGAAGGCAGGGAACATTGCTTTTGGAACTGACA